TAACTTATCTATAATTTCTCTTGGACATTGTTCTGGAATTGGCAATGTTGATTGATGTTCCATGAGTTCCATGCCGCCATCGCTCTCAGTGCTAAGTATCTCATTGTATTCTTCTTCTTCCCTAGTGGTTAATTTTTCAAAAACCAAGATTTCTTCTTTCTGAATTAATCCAATCTCTAAATAATACGGAAATCTCTAGGCTGTCCTCCTAATGAATATCTATGATCTCCGATTTGAAATCTTGCCGCGCTAAAAGCACTCTCTGATGCTACTGATGATGCTTGAATAGCAAGAATATCTCGGGCCATTATTGAAAGTGTTGGAAAAGCCTTGCCACGCTCCCTCCACCATGCCAAAAGTTGTTCGTTGCCTTCTTCGTCTTTAATACTTTCCAATCCTTGATTAAGATAAGAATCAAGTTCATCATCAATAGAGGAATCAAAACCTGTTATATCATCCATATCTTCCCATAGAACTTCTACTCTAGACTTAGAAGTAGAAGGAGCAGTTTCACCACCTGTTGTTTCCATAGATTTATATTTATCAAACATTGATCTAACATAAGAATATATGTTAGCTTGGCATTCTTCGAGAGATGGTTGTTCATTTTCTTGAATTGCTAAATTCTCATAAATTTTACGAACAAGTCCCTTTGCACCTCTTAATTTTAAAGATGGGTTAAGTATAGTAGAAATTAAATAAACTTGGGGAATAGGGAAAAAATACTTTTTAAATTTTGTAATCATTTCATTAATGGCCGGTGCATAAGTTGGATTAGTTTTATACTTACCAAATACAACAGAAATTTCACAAATATACCATAATATTTGTGTAATAGTAGGATAATATATACCAGAAAATTATTTTATAGCATAATAAAAAATTTTCAAAAATTTAGTAAGCTCTTTGATCAGATCCCAATCAGAATCAACAATTTGATCTGCGGGGATATCATTATGCATATTAAATACCTTTTGTATAGGCACCCGATAATCATAAGCAACTTTAAGTATTTCATAAGTAGAATTTCACCTAGTACAAACATCTTTTGGAACTTTTCTATATGGAAGGTTAGCACTAGCACATTGTTGAGCAAATTCACGAATTCTACTCGCTTTATTAGCATGAAAAATATAGCCGCAAGCATGTTGTACTTTGCTACAAGCATCAGAAAATAAATTAATACCATCTTTTACAACCAAGTTAAAAATATGACATGCACATCTAACATGAAAAATTACCGGATTAATTGGACAAAGTCTAGTTCTTAAGCTAGTTGCTGCAGTTGTGTTAGCAGAAGCATTATCTAAGGTGATAGTTAAAACTTTATCAATGAGTCCATAAAAATCAAGCATTTGTAGAACATTAGTTGCAATATATGCTTCAGTGTGTTTTGAATCAACAAATTTATAACCAATAATACGTTTTTGTATGTTCAAGTGATGATCAACCCAATGACATATAACAGTTAAATAATCACAACTATTAGGACTACGACCTATATCAGATGTGATAGACACTTTACAATCTAAGTGAAAAAATACACAACGAATATACTGAAGATATTCGGTTTGAAATTTAAAAACATCATTTCTAACTATAGTCTTAGGAAAACCTGGAAAGCAGGATTATAAGTTTCTTGTATATAATGCACAAAAGCAGGGTGAGAAGGAAAAGTAAAAGGTAAGCCACAGACAGCCACCATTTTTGTTGAGTTCTCACGATCTCTATCTTTGTTATAGGGGCGTAAAATAGTACCAGAAGAAGGGTCAAGATGCTGTTGTAAAAAATTAGAACCCCCGCCGGATCTACTAGGAGTGCTAGTACCGGTGCTAGGATCTGGTATTTGTCCGGCTTCTATTTTAGCTTGTATCCATAACGCTTTGTGGTCCCTACCTAAGTGCCTAGATAAACCCCCCGTCCCACCACTTTTGGTGTGCGCAAATCATTGCTTACATATTTCACATGTAGCACGTTGATTGACTTTATCATTTTTTAAAAATTTCCATACAAGTGATGTTTTGGGACGTTCACCCTTAGGCTTACCCCTTACAGGAGGTACAGGGGGTAAAGCTCCAGACCGAGATTGACTCTGAGTTGGAGCTTGTGTTGCGGGACTAGTGGGTGTTTCATCTAATTCCTATTCCTCATTTTCTTCATCCTCATTTTTTTCGTCCTCAATAAAAATATCATTGCCAAATTGTCTTTGTAAAGTTTCATGATCTAGTTGTTCTCCGAAATTAATATTATAACATGCAGGGGGTTGGAAAAATAAAGTTTCATCAACATGAGTCATTTCATCTATATGTTTTCTAATTATAGGATTAGGACTAGGATTAGGATTACTACTACTTTCACCTTTACTACTTTTTTTACTAGTTTTTTTTAAATACGCTAAATATATTTTTAGGTGCCATAATTTAAATACAAAATTAAATTAAAAAAGTTAACACAAAAATTAAAAACACAAATGAAATACGAAAATAGAACACGTAAAGTAAACACAAAAATTAAGTACTAAAATAATGAGCAAAATATATATATTAAAATTAGGAGATGGAACGAGTGCACCGTGATTAAATATTGAAACTTGAAGAAATTGCCCAAAATATTGCTCCAAATACTTGGCGAATTAATTTGAAGCTTGAAAGTTGCTCCAAAAATTTGTCCAAATACTTAAAACTTTTTGCGAGAAAATTGAGAGAATAATATAGATAGAATGTAAGAGATTTGAGAGAGAATAATTTATTTTTGTGGGAAAAAAATGAAGGATGGGGTATTTATAGTAGAAAATAGGGCCAAAGTGTAATTTAATAAACTTAGGGATTATATTAAAAGTTTGGGGGGGTAGGGGTGTTTTGGGGGAGTGGGGGCCAAATATGGCCGTTTTTAGCCATTGGGAACGGCTATTTTTGCAATTATAGTCGTTGCCCAACGGCTATAATTCAAAAAAAA